GTTACCAAGGTTTCATCTCAGAGAAATGTTCCCTGACTTGCCAGTCTAAAGTCACTGGCTCTATCAGTCACCTGATGCTATATCCTGTAACTGCTTAGCCACTTCCTCACTTCTGACATTTCTCTTTTTCCTGAATGTGTGCTCACAAGAGCAGAGTATTTTTATGTTTTGTTTATAGTTCTTCCTCAAGGGTCTAAAACAATGCCCAGAGCCTTAATAGGTTCCTAGATAGTGAGTGGATATTGGCCATATCTATTTCTATTACCAACTGCATGCATTGTAAGTGTTCTAAGGACAGGTAACCTGTGTTATCCACCATCATTGCCAGTCCTTAGACCCAAATGTGAGCCTTGTTATAGCTTGTTAAACAAATTTAAAATGTTGAATGAGTGAATGCGTTTTCTAACTCAGTGGCTCTGGTAAAGTCATATTTCTATTCATACTGTGAATATTATCTAAAGACTTTCCTGCCTGTAGTAGCCACTTCTTCCCTGGCATGATTCACCTTTAACTTTCAATACCAGTTTGTTTCATTCTGTGTTCTTGGTTTACTTTCTCTGTCCTTTCTACCAGCCTCTAACTAAACAGTTTTCATTTCCTTTTATGTTAAAGGCCTTCAATTATAACTAGTTAATACTTTCATCCAATCTTATGTTGTACCTGTTACATTGTTACAACTTCATCCTCTTCTTTGACTACAAGAGTCTGAAAAGTCTTTTTGTTATGTTTGCAAACCAATAATCGTAATGGCTATCTTATGATTTATACTACCTTCCTGATAAAAATTTTCTGCATTGCATTGTAATCTTTGTAACAGTTGTATTGACTTTTTTTTATCATTTGATAAATAGCAAAACTGAGGTTCAACTTGTTTAAATTATAATAAATTACATCATTTCTCCCATTCTTTATCCAGTTCTATATGCTACCCCCTTCCAAGTTCCGGACCTCTTTTTACTTGTTTATATATGCACACAACCTGCTAGGTCCATTTAGTGTTGTTTGTATGTAGAGCATTTCAGGACTGATCACTCGGTATCGGATAACCAGTCAGGGGCTCATCCCTGAGAAAGCCTAATTTTCCCTCTCTCAGCTGTTCTCAGTCACCTGTGGTTCTATATTCTGGGGATGAGGCTCCATGAGATTCCCCCACCCAAGTTAGCATGTCTATACTGTTGTCCTTCTTCAGATCTTGTGTAGACAAGTCTTATTGAGATATCATGAATAAAACCTCCCTGTAATTTTTAGAAGGCACACACTCAGGCCAGACTTCTTGGTCCTCTGGCTCTTCTGCCTCATATTTTACAATGTTCCTCAAGAGATCCTCTACTTGCCCATGCCAGCCTCTTTCCTAATAAATTACAAAGTTGAGGCATTTGATATCCGCTTTCATCCTTACTCAGTGTTATGTGACTGACTGCTTTCTTCAAATCCCATCTTTTCTTTCAGAAGGTCACAAAGAAATGAGAGAAAGCCAACTCCTCTTTCCATCCCTGTTGCTAGAATAATATTAGTAAATATACTCATTCTTAGCTCATTCATTCCAGTCTAAGATGAATAGAAATACTTCTCTCTGTTTTGGAAACCATCTTCTCTTTGTTGTTTTACTATGTAAATTTTCAAACATAAAAGAATAGAAAACAACACTCATAAACACATCATGTATGGCTAATAATACCATGTCATGTTTCAGCTACATCTACAAGTTTCCATGTCATTTTATTAATTTCAAAGGGTTTTCTGTAAAACATTTCCTATAAAACATATTTACCATATTTAGCAAAATGAACAACACTTTCTTATTATTATAATTTTTATATTCAACTTTCCAAATTATCTAAAAATTGTATTTTTACAGTTGATTTGCTCAAAGTAAGACAATGGGGACAGCATTTGTTGTTTTCTCTTTAGAATGGTCTGAAAGGAATGCACCAGAATGTTCTACCTGATAATCTAATTATGTCATTTCCTTGGAACAGCATTAGATTTAGTGGTCCATGCCTAGCCTTTTCTATGTAGAAGTTACATCTAAGGGTTTATTGCATTCAGATGATACACTTTTAGTAAAAAAAAAAAATTAAGTAGGGGAGTGTTTTTATCCTTTGTAACTCATGACTCTAAAGACATCAAATGTCAAGGTATTCCCCATTTATTTATGATGTTCCCTGATCACTTGTTTAAAATGATGACAATTTTGTATACCACTCCCTAGCAATGAAAAGGAATCATAGGGTATCATGAGACTATATTGTTTTACTTACTAATTTTGTTTTCTACAGATGATACCCTTTCTCAGGTTACTAAAATAATTTCTTCCTTTATTTTGTAGGATATTTTGTAGTAAACCCCAGTTTACTCCCTATGTTTCTACCACCTGTCTCTACCTGGCTTACCTGTAGACATAGGACATTGTGAATTAATAGCCCCATTGGCATTGGACCACAATCTGCTAGTTACTTTTTCTCTTTGTCTTTTATCTCAAAGTCTAGAAAAGTCAACATTCTATCTTTGTTGCTTTGTGTCCATATTTGGCTTGCCTCCACGCACCCCTTTACTCATACTTTATGGTCTAACCCATTCCTATGACTGCTGCTATAAAGCGGTGACTCAGATGTTGAGTTTTTAACATCCTGGGTAGCACTTCCTAGATAAGAGTGCAAACACTCAAGAGACTGCTCTGCTCTCCATCCTTTCAAGCACTTGACTCTTCCAGTTTTCCCATCTCCATGAACGATACCCATTAATAGTTAATATGCTCTATTTTTGTGCTTTCATATATCAAAACTCTAACTTGAGAAACTTGAGTCTTCTTGAAGCCCATTTGGATCTTTCTTGCTTCTGCTTGGTTTTTCTTCTGGCTATGATGTCTTCCATCTTGCTTCTGAACAACTGTTCTTCCTTCAAAACCAAGAGGAAGCATCTCTCTATGATTGATTTCCACAGAAGAGCTAATGATCATTGGCTCTATTTTATAGCTGTTCTTTATACTTGCTGCCAGAGCATGCAGTATGCACATTGCCTGTACTTTTTGGTTTGCTCTCCCTCTGCTCTTTAAGTTTTTGGAGATTACGTATCTTTGGTATTTGTTCTCTGGCTTGTATCTGTTGTTCAGTTAAGTAATCACCTCCTTCGTTTTGATTTTAGCCAATGAGAAGGTCTAGGGGTGAAATATTGATGGTGGTGGTGATGAGTGAAATTTTTGCCTATTAATTACTTTTACTTTGTACTCTGAAGAATCTGGTTTTTGACATATTTAATAGATATTTTAAAAGACGATAATTTCTGCCTATTTCTTTCTGTCTCCATTTTAAAAAAAGAAGACAGTTGTTTAGAATGCACTGGCAACCTTTAGTCTGTGGTCCCATCTAAAATGAAATATGCCCGGTCACTATTCTTCCCTTAGGGGTTTAATTTGTAAAGAAGATGATGTTTTGAAAATTGTGTCGTTAACCCACACTTAATCTCATTTGAGTATATTTTTAGAAGCAAGATATAATTCAAAGACAAATAAATAGTATAATATTAGATTTTTTTTTACACAAACCTCCGCTTTCATTGATTGTTTATTAGTGTCTTTGTGCAGGCTCCCACTGTCTGAAGTACCTTTACGTGCTGCCCAGAGCTCTCTGACTCCTTGTTTCCCCACCGGTCATCTCAGTGCTTTTCCTCACTTAGTACTGTCATTAGGCAACTTTAGGATTAGTTCTGTCTCCTGTTGAAGTAGATATAGATTCTAAATTCTTTGTTTCTGCTTCTGTATTTTATTATTTGCAGGTCTCAGATCTTTAATTTGGTTTACATTTTCTGCCTAGGGATGACTTTTTATCCAGTTTCTTCTCTGAATTCAAAAGCTCTTGCCTACACCTACCTGTATACACATGCTGACCACCTGCTTCCGAGCTTATGCAGAGACTCTCATACCCATTTTGGTACTATTGCCTGATCCCTTCACTTTATGTTTGTTTCATTTCCTACCTAGTTTTCTTCCCATGATTATAAACATGCTACCTGTAGCTAAATGGTACATCCTATGACAACCATTTTCCATAGGGATTGTTTGTAGACTCTCAAAGTTGGCTTGGTACCTTCTATTTTTATTTTCTCATATTCTTTTCCTTTTCTCAAATCATTTAAAAGTATGAACTGGGGCTGGAGAGATGGCTTAGCAGTTAAGAGCACTGACTACTTTTCCAGAGGTCCTCAGTTCAATTCCCAGCAACCACATGGTGGCTCACAACCATCTGTAATGGGATCCGATGCCCTCTTCTGGTGTGTCTGAAGACAACGACAGTATACTCACATGAATAAAATAAATAAATATTTTTATAAAAGTATGAACTGTCCTCTAGATGGACCCTGGACTTGCTTACCATTTCTTATGCTTCCTCCTCACGTCACTTGTTCTTCCTGTTTCTTGCCTATGGTTAGAGGCATAATAATCTGTATTAGTTATTCATTATAACCATATTCTACATTTTAGGGAAAATGTTCTTGGGAAATATTCATCCAAGTAATTATTTTTCCTTTCCAAATATGTTGAAATTATTTTGAAGCTAAGATAATACCATTGTACAGTACATCTTTAATCAAAGGTAATTTTAAAAAGTAGTGAAATGTTTCTTCCATGGTGCCTTAAAGGGAGTCTTGAGTATTTAGGGTTTTTTCATGAAATAAAAAGTGATGTCTAGTCTTAGAAACTAGAGCAGTAGCTATTCTGTCTCTGTTACCATCTCATTAAAAGCTTTTATAATTCTCTTATGTAAAAAGAGAAGACAGACTACTCCAATACAAAGAATTAATACAGAACTCAATAAATGAGTCAAGCGCCCATTCTTTTTTGTTAAGCTATTGCAATAATAGGGTGGAGGGCAAAGCGGCAAAGGCAAGAGGGCAGCTTAGACTTGTAGCTAGTAGTCTGTCAAAATATTTGTGTTTTGGGTATAGAGGAAAACATCCTATTAACTGTCTGATGCCTGTGCTCTATTTTCTTCTCTTTGTAGTTTCGCTATGCGGGTTGGCTGGACAGGTTGTACATGCTGGTGGGAACTTTGGCTGCCATTATCCACGGAGTTGCGCTCCCACTCATGATGCTGGTCTTTGGAGACATGACAGATAGCTTTGCAAATGCGGGGAACTTCCCGCCCAACATGACTAATATAAGTAAGTATTGTTTGTGGTGCCAATTGTGCTGGAAATTAATAAGAATACACTATAGCATTTTATGGTCTATGTGGTGGAGGCTGAACATTTCTAGCTCACCCTTGTAGTGAACTTGAGAAGATGATACAAGCATTAGACTAACTAGTGGAATTGCTAACAGAGATATGTAAAAACAGAGAGGGGATCTCTGAAGTCAGAAATGTCCCAGAAAGCTTCAGGAAAAAGTGCAGGAATCTCCTCAGGTCCTTGAAGATAGGCTGGCATAGTTATGAGAGGCTGTGGTAGAGTGACTCTGGGTAAAGAGAAGAGTCTAGGATGATTCTAAGGTATTTAATATGAGAAACTAGAAGAACATAATTGTTCTCAAGATAAGAATGATGGAAGCAACAGTAGATTTCAGCAGCAGTAAACACCAGTCATTGTGTTTTGTACATTGTTATAGCTGGGCTCTCTGGGAGCAAATCCAGGAATGGAGAAATGGGGCCAGGAAAAGTGTAAAGAGATTTGTTAGAATTTGTGAGACAGGATGAGATCCAGCATGCAAATGTTGATGCTTGCATAAGCTAGGTGCAAAAGTTCATCCTCAAAAACAGGAAGAGGTAGAGAATATCGAGCGTCAGAGTCCAAAGGTAGATACATGAGGAGACAGACTGAGAAAGTCCTCACGACAGCAGATCCTTTCATTTGCCAGTGACTTGTTCCAGTGGATACAGAACCATGGATAGTACAGAAGCCTGCGTATATTATATTTTCCATATGCATAAATAGCCATGATAAAGTTTGATTTATAAATTAATCACAGTGAGCTATTAATAACAATAACAGACTAAACATAGCAATATGCTACCTTCAACACTATGTGAATGTGGTCTTTCTGTTTTTCTCAAAATATCTTACTGTGCTGCTCTCTGGCCCCTTTCCTCTTGTGATGCCGTGAGCTATTACAGTCTCATGGTTGACTGCAGGAAACTGAAACCACAAAAGGCCTAACTGTGGTGAAGAAGCTCTTACACTTCAATTTTCTCATGATTTTGAAAGTAAGAAACTTACTTCATAAAAAATGAAATAAGAGCAAGAAAGTAAATAGGCTGTTGAAAGAAAATGTATGCTATACACTTGAACTGGGGAAAGACAGGTGACTAGCTCTGTGATTCAATCTGAAGGATACCCAGTTGAACAGAGATTGAATTAAACCAAATGGAACTTCCTAAAGGCTTACAGCTGAGTTTCTACACAGATGGGAAAAATGTTAAGAAGGGATGAGGCTGTGGCTCAGTGGTAGAGTGTTCACCTACCAAGCACAAAGCCCCAGGTTCAGTTCCTAGTACTACTCCCAAACAAAACACCTCAGAACTATATAAATACTTCTTGGGTTACAAAACCCTTCAATATTTGGAATTTTCTTTTTATTTGATTCGGAGATTAAACCCAGGGCCTTTCATGTCAACATCTGAATTTTAAGTCTCTGATGCATGCAATGATTCATTTCCATAGAAACAGTCATATAAATATTTATATAAACATTTATGGAATCTTTGGTATTTGACATTGGAATGATTTATTCTATTAATACAAATAATAATTTGAGCTGGAAATTTTTATGTATTTTTAATGTAAAATTTGTATGCTTTCTCCCTGCCTTCATGATATTCAAGCATCTTGTAACTATATCCTGTGCCAACACTGAACTGTCGTACCTTGTTTGTAACATGATGGAAAAGCCCTCAGTGATTTCTGAATTCTTTAGTTCCTGTACACTCTATAGTTTGCAGCTTTGGAGTTGGCTCTCTCATTAGCTTCAGTGGAATAGTTTCATCTCTCATGGGTTTCTGGTATCTCAGCAGCCACAATACATGCATTTACGACACTCTAACCCAGTGCTTTGTGAAGTCTGGATACAAGCAGTACTCTAACCCTGTGTGAGGTATTAACTATGCTGTGCACAGAGTATGAAGGGACAGTGGTTAAACTCAGCTGTCAAAAAAAAATTATTCAAGTGTTGACATTTGACCCAGTTTGGGAAGAGACTATCATATAACTTCCTGAAGTGGGAAGGACTGCCTTCTGAGGAGCAACAGTAAACTAAATACATTACATGCCTCACTTTCTCTTTGCTGTGACACATACCTGAGAGGAAGAATTTAAATGAAGGAAGGAATTATCTCATTTATTTCTACCTACAGTTTCAAAAATTTTATTCAAGTTTCATTGGATCAGTTGCTTTAGAGCTGAGGAAAAGTAGAAGTTATGGTAGCAAGAGGCGTGTGGTAGATGGGCTTGTTACCTCATAGTGACAGATCGAGGGACACACACATATACACAGAGCAGAGGGTGAGCAAGTTAGGGAGAAGAGAGAGAGGAGGAAGGGGAGGGGAGAGGGAGGGGGAGATTGAGACAGGGAGAGGGAGAGGGAGAGAGAGAGGGAGAGGAAGAGAGAGAGGGAGAGAGAGAGGGAGAGAGAAAGAGAGAGAGAACCACAGCTCAGGTTAGGACTGTCATGATCTATTCATTTCACCCAACAAAACATGAGACTTTTCAGGGAGACTTTATGTTATGTCCAAACGATACCATCCATCTTTTATCTAGCAGTCTTTTGTCCAAGTCTACTATGTCTTATATTGCTTTATTTCTCCATCACCCAGACATGAATTGTTTCTGATGCCTTTAAGGGCACAAGTGGTCTCTTCTGACAGAGAACTACTTAGTACTAATGTTACCTAAGCCACTTAGACATAAGGATAGACAGTGCTCTAGTCCAAGGGCTTATGTCTTTCAAAATGAATGAGGACATTCTAACCCTTGATGTAAGGCTATTGGGATACTTTGGGAGGTAATTAGATCTTGAGGATGGGATCAGTACCATTATGAAAGTGGCAGAGTCATAACAGCAGGTTGGTCAGCCAACAGGCACAAATCTTTTGAGGGGAAAGCAGCTCAGGCGGAAGTTTATGACTGTTGGATCATCTGTGTCACTGGCAGTAATCCTGCTGTGCTGAAGGCAGCCTCCCATCTGGACAGATCCTTAGGAGATACATCATGAGGAAAATTGTCCAGTTTCTCTTATGCTTTCTGTACAAGAATACTTGGAAATCTGGGCTCATAACATTGTTGTAGAGCTAAAGGGGCCTTGTGGATCATATATGTCTATGGCTTACTGTGCCTTTTCCATCAGAAAGCTCTCTAGGCAAGTGACATCTCTCATAAAAGCTTATCAGGAAAAAATATATCAAGGAGAGCCCAAATTGAAAGGAATAGGAGTCCAGAGCTCGGGTCTCTGATGCTGACCTGTTCTTCTACTACCCTTTTCAACACTCAGTTCCCTTTGAAAGTCCAGTCGTCTTTGGCCCAGCTATAACCCATGTCTGAAGTCTGCTTTATACACAGTTCTATCTCACTAACTCCTTGGCATGCTCCCACTCCTGCCTGGTTTTGTCCAGTTCTCCACATATTGTCACAGTGAGTTTTTCAAAAACAGAAACCAGTTCGCTCCGGTCCCCATAGTTTCCCACAACATGGACTAAGTTTAATTTGTATTCAGTGGCTCATGGAGCACGATCTTCTCTTTCCCAACTGTCCCACAAATCTCACTACTCATGGGCTCCTTCCTGTTCCTTCCAGTCTCCTTCTTTACTTGGGGTGGCTCAGACCCTTCCTGGCTGCCTATTCATGTCTTGACTTCTCACCCCACCACATCGCTACTGTGCTTGCTTATTGGAACTTACTACTCTGAAATTATCTTGTTCACTGGCTGCTTTGCTTGTCCATCATGGCTCCTTGTATGCAGCAAAATTCTGGATCCTGTTTACATATCCAATCTGTTAGTCTATATCTTTTTATTGGGGAATTGAGTCCATTTATGCTAAGAGATATTTAGAAAAAGTGATTGTTTCTTCCTGTTATATTAGTTATTAAAGGTGTAATTATGTTTGTGTAACTGCCTTCTTTTGGGGTTGTTGGAAGATTACTTTCTTGCATTTTCAAAGTTGTAGTTTCTCTCCTTGTGTTGGAGTCTTCCATCAATTATCCTTTGCAGGGCTGGATTTGTGGGAAGATATTGTGTACGTTTGGTTTTGTCATGGAATATCTTGGTTTTTCCATCTGTAGTGATTGAGAGTTTTGCTGGGTATAGCAGTCTGGGCTCGCATTTGTGTTTTCTTAGGGTCTGTATAATATCACTCCAGGCTCTTCTGGCTTTCATAGTCTCTGGTGAGAAGTCTGGTGTAATTCTTATAGGTCTGCCTCTATATGTTACTTGACCTTTTTCCCTTACTGCTTTTAATATTTTTTCCTTGTTTTGTGCATTTGATGTTTTGATTATTATGTGATGGGAGGAATTTCTTTTCTTGTCTAGTCTATTTGGAGTCCTGTAGGCTTCTTGTATGTTCATCGGAATCTCCTTCTTTTGGTTAGGAATTTTTTTCTATAATTTTGTTGAAGACATTTACTGGCCCTTTATCTTCACTCTCATCTATACCTATTATCATTAAGTTTGATCTTCTCATTGTGTCCTGAATTTCCTGGATGTTTTGTGTTAGGAGCTTTTTGCATTTTGCATTTTCTTTGACAGTTGTGTCAATGTTTTCCATGGTATCTTCTGCACATGAGATTCTTTCCTCTATCTCTTGTATTCTGTTGGTGATGCTTGCATCTACGACTCCTGATTTCTTTCCTAGGTTTTCTATATCCATGGTTGTATCCCTTTGAGATTTCTTTATTGTTTCTACTTCCATTTTTAGATTCTGGATAGTTTTGCTTAATTCCTTCACCTGTTTGGTTATGTTTATTTGCAATTCTTTAAGGGATTTTTGTGTTTCCTTTTTAAGGGCTTCTACCTGTTTACCTGTGTTCTCCTGTATTCCCTTAAGGGAGTTGTTTATGTCCTTCTTAAAGTCCTCTATCATCATCATGAGAAGTGATTTTAAATCTGAATCCTGCTTTTCCGGTGTAATGGGGTGTCCAAGACTTGCTATGGTAGGGGAACTGGGTTCTGATGTTGCCAGGTAACTTTGGTTTCTGTTGCTTATGTTCTTGCACTTGCCTTTCACCATCTGGTTATCTCTAGTGCTACCTGCACTCACTGTGTCTGACTGGAGCCTGTCTTTCCAGTTATCTTGCTTGTGTCATAACTCCTCAGAGTCCAGATGTCTCCATGATCCTGTGATCCTGGGTAGAAGATCTCCTGGAACTCAGGCTGCCTCTGAGATCCTGAAATTTGGCTTCTCTGAGTGCAGTGGTTCCACCACTGCTCTAAGATGGTTCAGGATATGGTGTCTTCATAGGAGCAGACCTGCTAGGTGTCTGTCCTAGCCAAAAGGACCAAGCATGGGGCCCAAGGGAAGTGGTATTCTGGAGGGGTGGGGTTTGGGTGAGTGATGGGTCCAGAGTGCCACAGGCACTCAGTTGCAGTTCTGGGGCGTAGGGTTGTGGAGAAGGGTTCTTACCATCTGCTCTAGGAAGGTTCAGGATAAGGTGTCTTCATGGAGCAGACCAGCCAGGTGTCTCAAAGTCAGTATTTCTTAATATTGAATGACGCTTCATATTATATGTAATAAAATTACATGTGGTAACTTGTAAATAAAAATTAAAGTGTCGAAAGAAATGTGGGCTGTAATATAGCTGAGTAGGTAGAGAGCTTGCCCAGCATGTGTGAGGCCCTGGGTTTGTATGTTAGTTTCAATCCCTAGCACCACATAGCTATTGAGTATAGAGGTACCCTCCTACAATCCCAGTACACAGAGGCAGAGGCAGAAGGATCAGAAGTAGAAGTGAGTTTGAGAACCTAGATTACATGAGATCCAGTCTCCCATGTTCAGACAAACAAGAAGAGAACTGCATTGTTAGGTTTTTAGAGTATACTTGAGAGTCAAGGATGCAGTAATAGTCATCGCTGTGTTTCTTCTGGCAAGTATACATGACTGAATTTCGGCTGTGTATGGTCACACACCTATGTAGGGCAGTACTTGAACGGATGTCAAGATGCTCTAACATAAATGAAGCTCAGTCACTTGAGTCTGTTTTTCATAATAAAATAAGTTTCATTTATTCTGTGCTTAGTTTTAACGGAAACCAAAGAAGCATAAAAGTTTTATGTTTGTTTTGTGTTCTAGGTTACTACAATAATACAGATGTCTATGCCCAACTGGAAGATGAAATGACCACGTAATTACATATTTTCCTTACTATTTTCTTATTAACATTTTCTACATTGATCTAGTCACAGTAATATAGTTATAGTTTGCATTATAATAATAAAATTAAAAGGCTTCAGGCTATCATTAGTTTTCTATTAACATACATTATAGTCTTTTAAAAGTGTTTATATCATTAAATATATTAAGGTTGACCCTGAATTAAACTTATGTATGCAGTTGAAAAGCTAGCATACCATATACAGAGAAATGAGAGGAATTTAAAGTAGCCTTTTAGATATATTTGAATTCACAATAGTTATTTTCAATGGTTTCCTAGAGAGTAGTTTGTTTCCTGGCTATTTCTAGTCATAATTTAATGCTAAGATAAGCCAACAGAAATTCACTGAGAAATTCACTGATCTCCACATCTGATTCCAAACAGAAAATACAACACCCTACAAGAAATGTAGTCACTCCGGCCTTAAGTCACATGGACAGAATTTTTATTTTGTTAATGATTTATGCAGATTGATAGACTGTGCAATAGCTGTGTAATAGATGTCCAAAGGTGTGTGCTGGTGAGTCAGATGATAATGGTTCTGTATTTTACTATGATTTTTCTGATAGATTTGAAGAAAGTTGAGGCAGAATGACAGTTCAAAAGACAAAATAAAATACTTATAAATATTACTGTGAGGAGGCATATTTTCAATACAGGAGAAAATCTACTATCTTAAATGCCTAAAATGTATTACATTAAAATACACTGGTATTTTACCAAATATAATATTTTCTTGTTAAATGGGACTTCCTTTGAAGTCTTTATCACACTATCATTTGTACAATAATGAATTTTACAGTTACATGTTAACTAAAATGTAATGTTCCAATTACATCTTCCTTAATAAGTATAGTTTATAACATGTAGCTTGAAGAACAATTTGCTTAGCAAAATTCTTATAGATTGCTCCTGGAAATGTGTACATAATGTAAAAGGCTTGCTGTGTATTATATGTCTATTTTTAAATCTAGTATTGGAATGAGCACTTTTATTCAAAGATAGAAAGGAAAGAACATTTAAAATATACCAAATCTTAACCTTTAGTCCATTTTGCCTTGAAAGAGTGTGTTTCAGTGGTAGAGCATTTTCCTAGCATAGATGAGACCCTAGTTCCCAGCCCGTGCACTAGAAAAAAATCAATAACAAGAAACTGTTTCTATTTAATGTATACATGAATTGTTTAATGAAGCCATAGGACTTTTAGCTATAGAGGCACAGCAAGGAAACACCTTTTCAACTTTTCTAAAAGGTGTGCTTGAATGTTGAAACTGGGAGGGAAACTATTTGATTTATTGACCATTCGATTAGCTCTCAATAGCCATTGGGTAAGTGCCACAGAAACATTAGTTTTCAGTTGTCATTCACCTTCTAAGCTCTGCTAAACTAAGAGTTCCCAGGAGCAGGGGACATCTCACCTCCGGGTTCTACTTTCTAATAAGTTCCATCATGTCTTCCCCACCTCCAAGAAGCATAGACTACCCTCAAAGTGTCATCGACTGATGCTGATGTGACAAAAGGAGAGAAGACTAATGTGCTAGCACACTAACGAGCTTTCAAAACCACTGGTGCTCTCTGAGTAATTATTAGGCACCAGGCACTGGCCTGAGTAAATTTCAGACATATTGCATACTCTTATCTCCATAATAGACCATTGGAGTTCAGGTTATTAAGCATCCTTAGCTACAAGGTAGTTAGTTGAAGAGCTTTAGTTTGCCTCAAATCCATTTTTCGATATTGTCACAGACATAGGTGGATGCTAATCCTTACAGCTCCTTACAACCCATTCTTGTTTGCTAAGGAAGGGGGGATACCCAGAAAACTAAAGAAATAGATAGGAACTAGTTAAAACACAGCATGCACAGTGTTCTTGTTTTCCAGGTACGCCTACTATTACACGGGGATCGGTGCCGGTGTGCTCATAGTTGCCTACATCCAGGTTTCATTTTGGTGCCTGGCAGCTGGAAGACAAATACACAAGATTAGGCAGAAGTTTTTTCATGCTATAATGAATCAGGAGATCGGCTGGTTTGACGTGCATGATGTTGGGGAACTCAACACCCGGCTCACAGAGTGAGTATTTTGGTTTATGCTGAAGTCAGCCGTGAGCTTGTTCTTCATGCTGTGAAGTAGATACCACCAGCTCTGTTAGGAGTGCCGGAGCATCACTGAGCAGAGTAAAGCCCTGTGGACAGTACCTGTGTCTTACACAGCTTCTTGTTCACAGCACCCTGGCAGGGAATGGGAGGCAGGGAGGGGCTCCTGATTGCCTGGCACTGAATGAGGGATTAGGCTGGCAGAATCAAGACTGAGCACAGCAGGGATGCACAAGGGAGCACCAGCATGGCCTGTCCAGCCCCACTGAGCACTGTCCTGCCAGGCTCCATGGCGTCCTTGGACGACAATGGAAAGAAGGAAGGGGCTCCTGTCTGTCATCCTCTGCTTCGTGGAAGGCATGATGAACTCCAAGATTTTGTATTCTTAGAGGACAGCACCACATGCATAAAGCAGAAATCTCTTAGCAGTTTGACATTTCATAGTAAATAGTTTTACACATCCCATGTTTGTATTCTGAGGTCATGTGGACTACAGAACATTGTTAATGATACAGCTCCTACTGACAGCCTTCCCCTATCCCCACTTTCCCAAAGGACCAGGCATACCAAAGAGGTACAAATTAATGTACTCTCTCTTGGCAAAACAAAACTAGACTCGGGAGAAAAGTTGTGTATCTGCAAATCTGACATTACGTGTAACCCAATCTCTTTCTTCTTTTAGTGATGTCTCCAAAATTAATGAAGGAATTGGTGACAAAATTGGAATGTTCTTTCAGGCAATGGCAACATTTTTTGGTGGTTTTATAATAGGATTTACTCGTGGCTGGAAGCTAACCCTTGTGATTTTGGCCATCAGCCCTGTTCTTGGACTGTCAGCTGGTATTTGGGCAAAGGTAGGTGAAGTTCATGAGTGCAGATTTTAAACTCTTTCCCATGACTCATGAAAAAGTCTTTTAACCACAATAACCCTGTCTGTGAATTTTATATACAATTTCATACTTTTTGTTAAAATATCAGCAGGGTATTTTATCAGCTAAGGGTAAAATATCAGCTGAGCTATCCCCACAGTACTGCCCTTAGCCATGTAATTATTTGTAAAAAAGAGTTGAAAAAAAGAGAAAAATCTTAAGTTCATCCTTTGCCTTCATGGGAAAAGATATGCTGAACCCATGAGATCTGTAAACATCTGTCTTAGTGACTTTTGCATTGTTGTGAAGTGATACAATGACCCAAAGAGCTCATATAGGGTGGAGTCGGGGCTGGGTTACAGTTTCCCAGGGTTAGTCCATTCCCATCGTGGTGGAGCACATGGCTGCAGGCAAGCACAAAGGCAAGCACTGGAGCAGTCGTTGAGAGCTACGTCTTTATCTCTAAGCTCCGGACAGAGCAGTGGGGAAGGGAGAGCTAACTGGGAATGACATGGGCTAAATAACTGGGAATGACCTGGGCTAACTGGGAATGGCATGAGATCTTTAAACCTCAAAACCCACCCCAATGACATGACACACCTCCTCCAAGGCCACTCCTCCTAATCCTTCCCAAAACAGTGTCACCAACTGGGAACCAGTTCATTCAAATGTATGAGCTCATGAGAGTCAGTCCCATTTAAACTACCACAATCACTAATAAATGACAGTGGCAATTTCAAATTTCTTTATAGAAAGTAGAGATTCAAATTCAGTGAACAACGACTGTCTCATTCAATTTTCACTTCAGTTTTGTAATACATTTTCCATGTCTGGGTTAACATGCAATTCATTTTATAAGATCACTTAATGCAACTGTACCATATGGTGGAAAGATTAGCCCAGCATATAGATTTTGTGAGATTACATGTAAGATATAAGAAGTCAAAGTCCAACCAAAGTGACGGCTACCTACCACAGGAGAAGTCAGGCTGGATTGGTGAGAAGCTTTTGGAACTTTCCCCTGTCTGGTGCATGTTGTTTTGTTATTGCAAACAGTAACTGTCACTGATTAAGCATTTTCTATGTCCACCAGATACCTGTGAAGCGTTGGCATCAGCTCACTTAGCAGGCAGAGTAACTGAAGTCCTGATCACTGTTAATCTGTTACCCAGGGGAACATGATGGGAATGGTGTCCCTGGTTGTTACATTAGCTGAAAGCTGGCAAAGCTCCTTTTCCTTGTTTGATTTTTCTGCTTAGTAGAATATTGAACAGATTAGGTGGAAAATTTTCACAACAGAACTTAATGAAAAACTACTGATTGCCTTCTCTAAGTTGGGAAAACAGACTAGTGCTTAATTTTTTAATTACTAATCTTACATTGCTTCTGATACTATTTATTTAATATAGACAACCCTTGGATTTCATTTTAATCTCTGCTCTTTGATAATATTTTTATACAATTTTATGTATATTTCTTAATCTTTCATTATATTAAAAATGATATGTGTCTTGGTTCCCTAATATTATAGACAAAATGTCTAGAATGTGATAGAAAGTTCCATCATGCTCAGAACCAGGAAATGCCACAAACACTCCTCCATACACTTAGCTGCTTCTCACAGAGACATAAATAAGATAGTGAAATGATCAGGCTATAATTTTAAAATAACTACCATAAAAATGCTCCACTAATTCATAAAAGCTTTTGAGACAATAGCAAAAACTCAATAGGAAATTATTAAAAAGCAAAAAATCACAACAGAGAACTGAGAGACCAAACAGTAAAAAAAGCCATGTTGTATGGGTTCTTTCAGTCTATTCAAATGGAGATTACATAGTAGAATATAGAATATTCAGAATCAGTGAATCTGAAAGACAGAAAATGAGGAGAGCCCACATCATGTGTGGCAATAACAAAAAGTTCATATCATTGCCTCAAAAAAAAAAAAAAGAAGGAGTACAGGGCTTTTGGATGAATCCAAGATCCAGTGGCTGATAAACACAATGATCAGCTGCAAGAAGTTAATCTAACCCCAAGCAGAATAAAATCAAAGAAATCTATGACAGGGCACATCATAACTAAAGTGCTAAAGGCTAAACACATAGAGAAGTTTTTTTGTGATAAGACAGAATAGGGGAAAAAAATCTCCATATTGGAATGTATGACTGATAGCAAACTAAACCCAGTACTATAAAAAAAAAAAAGAATTATAAATTATGGCCACGTGAGATTTAGTTCAGCTATATAATAATGACACAGCCCTTGAAGATCCATGTAATCTACCCTACTATATACTAAAAATAAATGGTCATATCATCTGACAGAACAAACATTTGACAACATGCAGAACTCACGGATGTTACCTGCTAGAAGGTAAGAATAGAAGAATGCCACTGCAGTTCTGAAGTGCTATTCAGATCTTCCCAATAGCTACTGAATGGAGGAAGGAATCTTCCCCCACCAGTACTGAAGTAAAACATTTCTGACTTCATTTTCTTTGAAACACTGGAATTCTAGCTGCTGCTGTAAGATAAGAGAATAAAAAGGCATATAGATTGGTAAGGAAAGAAAGAAAACTATGAATTTCTGAAAATAGTTAATGATGCTTGAAAGCATGATTTTCTATTAAAAAAATTCAAAGGAATCTACAAAAAAAACCCAACAACAATCTATGTGACAACTGGGTGGGAAGGCCACAGAATACCAGATCAACTGCACTTTTCACAGATTGTGTTAAACATGTAGAAACGGATGTTGGTTGAAACAAAAATGTGAACCACCAGATGTTGGAAGAATACAGAGAAACTGGATCACTCAAAGATGGCTGGTGGCATGGTAACTTTGAAAGACAGTTTTGCTATTAAGACTTTAAAAGAAATCTTTATGTGTCTGATTGCTTTACCTGCATGTCTTAGTTAATGCTCTACTTCTATGAAGAGACTCCATGACCAAAGCAACTCTTTTAAAGGCAAACATTGAATTGGGGCTGGCTTATAAGTTCAGAGGGTTAGTCCATTATTGTAATGGCAGGAAGCATGGTAGCAGGCAGGCAGATATGAAGCCAGAGAAGGAGCTGAGAGTTCTACAACTGAATTGGAATTGAATTGACAGCAGGAATACAGACACTAGGACTAGCTTGAGCATTTGAACCCTCAAAGGTCGGCCCAGTGATACACATCTTCCAACAGGACCATACCTACTCCAACCAGGCCACTCCTCCTAATAGTGCCACTCTCTAGGATCAGGCCATTTTCATTCAAGCCACCACAGTATAAACACATCCTTTGTATGTCTGGTACCAAGGCTAGAAAGGGATGTAAAAGCCCTGGAAACTGGAGTTACAGGTGATGTGAGCTGCCTGACATGGGTGCTGGAACATTAACTTGGTTCCTCTGAAAGAGTAGTACATCCTCTTAACCACATAACCTTCTCTCAGCATCTCATTGTTTCTTATAAAACCAAGCATGCAGTTATGGTTTGACCTAGCCACCACATTGCTGAGCGTTTATCTACAAGGGAAGAAAAGGATGCTGACATAACACTTGAGTCCTGGATATTCCACTTTCTACCTAAGTACTTAACCCAGGAAGTTTCCATTTCCTTCTATATAAGCTAGGAAAACTGATTACTCTTTGTAATTGAGATGAACAAATGAGATCTTATGCGCCTGAGAGGACGACGATTGTTTCTTAATAAATGCTCAGGAATCAAACAAATAGATCAAAGAGTATTGCTGAAGCAAGAAGAAGAAGAACAAAAATGTCCCTGGTAGACGAATGTGTTGTTTCACCAGTGATCACCAGAAGAGGAAACCGTGGCCTCTGCAGTATTCTAGCCTTCCTCGTTAACACTTCTGAACCAGAGTATCACTGAGAGTTGCTGGGAATACCACATTTCCTGGCCAGAAAGCCCATTTTTTTGTAATTCTTATGATGATATTGTGGCATATGTTTTCTTTTCTGAATGTTAACATTTCTTAAAACTACTATTGTTTAGATAAGGATCCATGAAATACTCAGTGTGAAATTTTATAGTTTGCCTAATTTGTTATACATCTTCATTGTCAAAAAATTTGAAGAAAAAGTAGCTTGAGATATCTTACATAGCGATATATATGTATGACATATATATATATATATATATATATATATATATATATATGCTAATAGGTGTATCATGGGCAAAGACAGATGAAAGATTTTAATTCTTCACATGTAGTAATACTCAGCCAACATATGTGTACTTTAACTGTCATGTTTTTAATAACCTAAATTTGCCTTTTTAAACAGATATTATCTTCATTTACTGATAAGGAACTCCATGCCTATGCAAAAGCTGGAGCAGTTGCTGAAGAAGTCTTAGCAGCCATCAGAACTGTGATTGCATTTGGTGGACAAAAGAAGGAACTTGAAAGGTTTGAATTTCTTTTGCAAGTAGATATGTTAAATCTATCGTCCCACATGCCATTTAGGATGGCAATGTTAATTTATGATACTTTTCTTATTTCTTAAACAAGTCAATACATACATATTACAGCATTAGTAACATTCTGGAAAATTGCCATTGCATTTTTATTCTTAAGATTCTGCGAGCCTGTTACTCAGCAGTCTTCTTTCTTTCTTTCTTTCTTTCTTTCTTTCTTTCTTTCTTTCTTTCTTTCTTTTTTTTTTTTTTTTGCTTTTTCAAGACAGGGTTTCTCTGTGTATACCTGGCTGTCCTGGAATTCACTCTGTAGATCAGGCTGGCCTTGAACTCAGAAATCCGCTTGCCTCTGCCTCCCAAGTGCTGAGATTAAAGGCGTGCGCCACCACCACCCAGCTGCATTTTTATTCTTATAACTGAACAATTTTCTAGTTTACTTTAAAACATGATTGACAAGGGAATAAGAAGTCTGCTTTAATGATGGGATGATATTCTGCCAGATGTAGCCCATATTCTCATGAAGTATAAATTCATGTGATGGGGAGAAAGGGCATAGACAACTAACTACAAAGAAGCAAAAATTTAGTAAAGCAGTTGGAGGATATATGGTTTGGAGACAAAATATCAAAAAAGAGTCAGGTATACTTCAGAGGAACATTAAATTATCGCCTTTAAATGTTTCTGAAAGATCAAACAAGTTCTAAGGTGGGAAATTTTAAATACAGTAGTCAGAGATTTCATCTTGAAGAAGATTTCATCTAGGCTAAGACCTGAGGTGAGAAAGGTCTTCGAAAGCAGGGATAGGATAGGGATAGGCTGGGTAGGAAGAGCAGTCTACCAAAGTCCCCGAGGTGGCAGAAAGCTTTGGTGTGTGTTGAGATATATTACAAAGCAGGTGAGCCTGGAGCTCACATCAGTGGAGAGAGATTGGATGCAGCCAGGATGTGGGGGCCAGGATGTGGGGGCTGTAGAGAAGAGATGGGATTCTATTCCATGTATGGGTGAGTCCTGAAGGTGTGAAACTGAGGAGTGGCCATCCACAGGTTACAGATCTGTGTCTCTGTCTAGACCAGTCAGGTGAGTAAATGAAAGCATTTACAGAGTGAGATCACAGATGCCAGTGAGAGGGCTGATGCAGGAGCCAGCTGAAAGGGAGTTCACAAGATTTAGTAAATTTATGAATTACATTTTCCAACTTGTTTACTGTGCTATACATGTGTGTGTGTGTGCGCGTGTGTGCGTGTGTGTGTGTGTGTGTGTTGGATTGTGTCGAGTGTGCATGTCTATACACATGAGTGTACACCATAGTCATAGGACTAATTGCAGAGGTTGGTTCTCTCTCTCTCCACCAGTAGGGTTACATGGATCAAACTCAAATTGTCAAGTTTGGTGGCAACTAACCCCGGGTTATTATTAGACCACATTTCATCTTTTGGATTTCTTTCTAGTTCTTATATTCTTTCAAAATCAATTTTTGTCTGACTTTCTCTTCGAAACGGCTGGTGCACAAGGAATTTAGCTCTCTTGGACTAGAAATTTAACCAGAACTGCGAATGCATTTAATTCAGTAGAATAGCATTGTTCTTTGCTTTAAAAAAACATTTTCTTGCCGAGTATGGCAGCATGCACCTATCATCCTATCGGTGAAGGAGTTGCAGTAGGAAGAGACTGAGTTCTAGGACTGCCTGAGTGTGTATAGTAAGATCCTATCAAAAAATACTCCCACTCCCAAATTTGTATGTATGTTTTTCTGACTTGTGACTTACAAATGTTTTTCTGTTGGTATTGATTTCTATTTGCTTAGTCAAAATTGATTCCTGCACAATTATATAAATAGGTACTGTATAATTAGCGAGTTTCTTGATAATAATTAAGCATATTTTCTGAGCACTGTTTTGTTAATTATCCACTCCTATTCTTATTTATTTTTTCCCTACTAGAGCTTCTGACAAAGGGATGGTTTTATAATCTGACTTGACATCAATGATGTATTCATTTTAAAAGTAGTCTTTCAAAACAGTCCTGTGTTAATACAGTGTTGTTTATGTTTCTTTCCTCTTCTTCCCCTTACCTTCCTTTATCTGTATCTGCCTGATATCAGCATCTATCCGGTAACTGTATGTATCTGGTATCTAAATGGATTTTTTTCCTTGTTGATTTTTCCTTTGCAAATGTTTCCTCTGGCTGCATAGGACACCATACTGTCAGTGAAATGGTTTCAACATTAGCCTGGGTAAGCAAGAACTGGAATAAAGGACACCATGGAACATGAAAAATAAGTTGTTAAGTTTCTTAATGTTACCATGTAAAATATATGCCTAGTGAATTACTACATTTATCATAGGTCAGCTTCTAACGTAAGACACACATTTAATTGAAACATATTTCTTAAAAATATTTTTTGCTAAAGATTATAACTGGTGTCTTTAGAGCACACATATTTTATCACTATAAAATTCCCTCTGAGCTTATTCTTTAGTAAATGTAATTCTTATGTAAATACTGTGTTGTGTTTTTACAATCTTGGTAACTAGCTTAAAAAACAAAAAAGTAGTCACCAGGACAAGAAATAATACATACACTGGACAGGGTTTGAACTTTTGATGTACCCACTAATTAAATGAAATTTTCAAAGAAAATTGATAGTGTATAGTATTTATATAATTATGTATTTAATGGTTCAATGACTTCAAAATATGAATTCTATGTGATATATATTCCTTTAGTTTCAAACTTGTAAGATACTGTCAGCAAGACAATGAAGACTCTTGTGGATCTTCAGGGAGTTCAAATAAAGAATGTAAAGGTTTAAGTGTGGTAATACACATCTTATACACTCCCAGGGCTTGGGAGGGAAAGGCAAGATAATGGTGAGGTCCAGGCTAGCTTTAGAGTGAGACTCTCAAGAACCTGAGCCAACAAAACAGTAACAAAAAGATACAAAAACAGTGAGGTTCAAATGATCCATCCTATTTCCCTAATGTTTTCATTTTTTATCTGTATTTGCAAAGTTCTCTGTTTTTCTTTAACTCTGGACCTCATTAGCTTTATTTCTTGAGCAGAATGGTCTCCGGTATAGCCCTCAAATGAAAGGAAAGCTATGGCTACTCTTGTTTAACTTTGTCTACTTTCTGGGATCTGAAAGCACTTGAATTGTAGTTGGAGAATAAACATTAAATTGATAGACAAAGAAGAAAAAGTATCTATCAGTAGACAAGACTTTGTATGGGGTTGTGGTTTGTTTTATCGACTTTGTTTCCTTTTCTTTGTAGTGCGTTAGAACTGTGGTTCTCAACCTGTGGGTCAAGATCAGTTTGGGGGATGTTAAAGGACTCTTTCATAGGGGTTGTATAGCACATATTCTGCATATCTGATATTATGATTCATAACAGTAGCAAGTTTACAGTTATGAAGTAGCAATGAAGTCATTTTATAGTCGGGGTGTCACCACAAAATGAGGAGCTAGCTGTGTTAAAGAGTAGTTAGGAAAGTTGAGATGCACTGCTCTAAGATCTCAGAAGGTATTCTCTGAGGCTTGTGCCATGAATAAGTTACAAGGCTGCTGATACATCGAGTTTTTTCTCAGCCTTTGCAGCCACAAGGCTTAGATGTTACATTCTAGCAGGCTACACCCCCTTACTCAGCAGCAGGCATTCATGGCATGTCAGATGTTGGAAGGGATTCACAAGCAATATGTACAGAGTATAAAAGATACAGATACTGATGAGTAATAATGGGCTACTCTATTCTTAAGCCAAGTATTTTTAAAAGGTCAGCTGTTTTTCAAACAGCTACAGAAGATAATTTCTATAGCTTATGCATAGCATTTCATAGCTTTTTTATTTATTTATTTATTTATTTATTTTGGTTTTTCGAGACAGGGTTTCTCTGTGTAGCTCTGGCTGTCCTGGAACTCACTTTGTAGACCAGGCTTGCCTCGAACTCAGAAATCCGCCTGCCTCTGCCTCCCAAGTGCTGGGATTAAAGGCACACACCACCACTGCCCGGCATTTCATAGCTTTAAATATGACCTTACATGTGTTATTCTGTAATTGGTCATTCCAGTAATCCTAGAAGGGGGCAAAGTAGGAAGGAAAGTATCTTCCCTCAAGTGTAGAGATTTACATGACCTTCTTGTGTTCACATATTCTAACATTAAATCTATTTTAATAATTAATTTTAAAAGAATATAAATTTTAAGCCAGGCAATGGTGGCACACGCCTTAAATTCCAGTGCTCTGGAGGCAGGGGCAGTGGATCTTTGTGAATTCAAGGCCAGCCTGCTCTACAGAGTGAGATCCAGGACAGCCAGGATTAAACAGAGAAACTGTGATGCAAAACCAAAAACCTAAACAGAAACAAAAACAGAAAGAATATATGTTTTTTAAAAAATAATTGTTTTTCATATCTTCTATCTGTGAAGTAATGCATGCTCTAGAAGCTAGCTAAACACTGCTCGCTGATTTCACTGTTGCTAAGGCTTACACAAAAAGAACGTTTAGAAGAGTCACACAAGTCAGACATTCTCTCCACACCTCAGTATCAATTTCTAAAAGCAGAGGATAAAATAGGAATACTGTAGTGTAGTGGGAATACATGGAGAAAGTACAGGTCTGCTACAGGGCTGAGCACATTCTAACTGTTCACTAACCAGCATGCTACACGAACACATTTCCGTAAGGTTTCTAAATCTACTCAATTACTTTTCTTTTCTCAATTACTTCTTTCTCCCAGGTACAACAACAATTTGGAAGAAGCTAAAAGGCTGGGAATAAAGAAAGCTATCACAGCCAACATCTCCATGGGTGCAGCTTTTCTGCTTATCTATGCATCATATGCTCTGGCATTCTGGTATGGGACTTCCTTGGTCATCTCAGAAGAATACTCTATTGGACAAGTGCTCACTGTAAGTTAAACATGTGTCAAAAAAGAAATAGATCACTAAAAGTTCAAATAGAATTGTGTAACGTTGAACGATATTGTTTGGATAGGTCTTAAATACTGGAAAATGTATTATTAGGTTAAAGAGTTGAAAAAATTAAATATATCAATTTTGATTTTCTTATAGATCTATCAATAATTTCTACTGTAGCCTAAATATTAACATTACCATCATTTCCATCAGGAGCTCCAGATCCTTTATATAGCAATATAGCATTTGGCTTTACAACCCCTGTTGTAGCCTAAATAGTAATATGACCAACTTCTGCAGCATGGATTTTCATTTGATGGGATTATTTCTTTGTATCAAACTTGATACTAAAATTTTCACTTTTATTTTCTATTTATTATGCACAACACAGTTGGAAGAATATAAAGTTGTATTTAAATCCCTCAAACTTTATTGACTTTTAAATGCCATCAAGTTGACAATATTAGCAATTCTACTTCATAACACAAACATATCACTTTGAAGTCATAACATTTCATCTCGTGTGTTTTAGGCTCGTAGCCATCTCATAATACAAAAGACATTCAGGCCAATGGTCTCAATTCTCTTCTTCAGTTCCAACCGTGTCTGTATAAAAGTATAAATACGGTAGTTTCTTCTGAGACTTGGGCATTCTTTTAACTGAGCTCCTATAATATTAGATTTTGAGTTACACGTTCCGTGTATAGTGACATGGAATAAACATTCATATTCCAAAGTGAAGAATGGAGACAGCACAAGGAAAGATCACATGAATGAGACCAAACAGAAAAAATGACAAACCTTACATTGCTGTGTAAAACATCCGGGACTCCTGATGGAAACATCTTGACTACAAAAGACTTGGGTAGTTCCATACTTCCCGCTTGGCTCTCTACAATATACATATTCTCTGTCTTGGGCTATCTCTGTCTAACAGTCTTGGCATCTTCACTATCTTGGAGTCTCCATTGAAAGATAGGCTTCACGTTAAAGCTTCATAGGTTTTTCAGAGCCTTCTTGCTAGGAATCCAAACTTGTTCCACACTATTTTGTCTCAGTGACTTCCTGAAACCTTGTCATGACCTTCCACAGCTCCTCAACCACTATCACATCTCTCATTCCTGTAAAACCATGTGGATGATGCTAATCAAGTTCTGTTGCCAGCTCAAAGTATAGTAAGAATCCTTGGACCAGAGTTGCACTGACCTCTGTACCTTTCAGGCTGGTCCTAGAGAATCACTTCCCCAGGTTAGTTTGGGGCAGTGAACCGTTTAGTACTTTCCGTTTAGTCTTTCTCCTTTCAAATGTATTGGAGCCCTCAGTGAGTAGGTAGGTCCTCCAGGTGATTCTAGATCCTGCCAAGCTGACAATCAATATTACCCATCAGAAATACTTTCTACATTTTAGAATTTATGTAAGTACAAAAGACTTTACACATGACATTTTATTTTAAGGTACTGAAATTATTTGCAACCAAGCTAAATAGGCATTTTGTTAGAAGGCCTGTTCTGCTTCTTTTTCTTAGGCTAACTATACAGAAACAGAGTTAACAACAGACCACAATTCTTTGAGTTCCTTAAAATAGTTCCCTTTCTCAGAATTCAGATTTGTAATATGAATTTCACAATTACTCTTTGGTTTTTGTTGCTGTCATTGTTGTTTGAACTGTGGTTTATCCAGTACATGTGAGACTGTTTAGATAGGGACAGATTTACAAAGATAGTGCTTTGTTTTGTTTGATTTTGTTTTGTTTGATACTGAACCTTGATAAGACTAAGTCATAATGATATTTGTACTGCTCAATTTTGATATAATGAAGCTGATTTTACTTTTACTGAAGACTGCCTGGCATTTGTTCATACCGTTGAGCTATAGTCCTAGCCCTAGGAATGAGTAGTTTCGATTGAGTATTTATGGAGCCTAAAGCTGCTTCACAATCTAGAAACATTCAGAGTGGAGACAGCATGATTTGATATCAAACCCAATAGGTTCCACTTCCCACTGCATTACATACTAGCGGTAAAGTTTGAGCAATCAACACTCTTTGAGTCTTCTGCCAAATATGTGATAGGAATCCTGTGTCCTAGCTGTAAAGACTAATGAGTAGCAGATACAGACTCACTTAGCAAACCCCCTTCCATGCAAATTATTAAGCAGCATGGCCACTGAATGATTAGAAAGAAATGGATGATGATATTACCAACTTCTAGCAGAAGCAAATAATAAACTCAAGTATTTACTGACAATATTTTGATCAAAACAATCCCCAAACTTGGGAAATAGTGCTTTAACCCCATAAAGAATCATCCCTTGTTTATGTGCTTTGTAACTTACAAAATATTTTCATGACTAATGTCATTTGATTCAACTTGTAGAGAGAACAAATAGAGTCTTCGATATTTTTGCACATGAAGTTGAAGACAGTATTCTGGGAGAATGTCCTACAGCTGAGTAGCTGACTAATACTAATGCAGAATTTGATCCTTTGTCTTCTAACTTGCTTGTTAGTGTTTGTTTCCATTGCACAGCCCTTGTGATGTAACTAAAAATTGTTAGGCATGGAAGAGATAAAAATGTTCTGTCGTAATATAATACTCATATAGAGCGTGTATTCCACAGCTTCTTTTAAAAAAGCAAGATTAATTCTGTATTGTAGGCTAAATGAAATTACTGAAAGATTTTAAATGTTTTCTCATTTTAGATTTGTCTATTTTTCAGTTGAAAATATGCATTGTCTTTAAGGAACACACTGCGATGTTTTGATACATGCATACAAGGTGTAATGGTTACATTAAGCTAAATAATCTCAGTTACTTCACTTTACATGTTGTGGTGATATATTTGAAATTTAAAATTATGAAATGTTAAGATATTTTTTAACCTGCTGTATTTGTAGGTTGCCTTGACATTTAAAAATGCAATTAGTTGTATTGAAAAGAAGAGGAAATGTGAGAGTCATGGCGAAGATTAAATAACACAGTGCTTTTTCTTTACCTCGTTCAGGTCTTCTTTGCTGTATTAATCGGAGCATTCAGTGTTGGACAAGCATCTCCGAACATCGAAGCCTTCGCCAACGCAAGAGGAGCAGCTTATGAAGTCTTCAAAATAATTGATAATGTGAGTCTGACCTGCCCATTAATCTGTCTAGTAAAGGATTTTCCAGTGAGGTAGTTTCACTATCATGTTATCAAGCTCATTACAAAGTTGCTGTATAAAGTAGTCACTGCCACTAGTGATCATCTATAATTTTCATCTGTACAGAAGCCCAGTATAGACAGCTACTCAAAGAGTGGGCACAAACCAGACAACATACAAGGAAATCTGGAATTCAAAAATATTCACTTCAGTTACCCATCTCGAAAAGAAGTTCAGGTATGACGGTAATTTTTCTATAAGAAGAAGAGTTCCCAATAGTTTCTAAAAGGTTACAGAGAAAAGATTGTATGTAAAATCAAGCATGCTGTTGAAATGAGATGCCGGCACATAGAACCTACATCCATCTGTCCTGGGGATTAACCTAACGTTGACTTCTCACGTGTCTCTGCAGATCTTGAAGGGCCTCAACCTGAAGGTGAAGAGTGGACAGACAGTGGCCCTGGTCGGCAACAGTGGCTGTGGGAAAAGCACGACTGTGCAGCTGATGCAGAGGCTCTACGACCCCACCGAGGGCGTGGTGAGTGGGCGTGCAGCCAGCACCAGTTAACACTGCCCAGCATTCTGATTCCGGGATTCTAAAGTGTGAACACCACACGTTTTGTTCCAGGTCAGTATCGATGGACAGGACATCAGGACCATCAATGTGAGGTATCTGCGGGAAATCATTGGCGTGGTGAGTCAGGAACCTGTGCTGTTTGCCACCACGATCGCCGAAAACATTCGCTATGGCCGAGAAGATGTCACCATGGATGAGATAGAGAAAGCTGTCAAGGAAGCCAATGCCTATGACTTCATCATGAAACTGCCCCACGTGAGTCATGCCTCACCTCTGTCTCCCCAGGCTCAGAGAGGAGAGCTCTGGCTGATGTGCTTCATGTGAACCCAGGAACCTTCTGTGAGGTGGAAGAACTGCCTTAGCAGGGAAATCCATTTACCTCGGATTTACAGCCCACGCCCTGTCAAAAATATTTCTTTGTATCTATGTATTTCTTTGCTATATTTTCTTTTGTTCTTCTAATTATAGAAATTTGACACCCTGGTTGGTGAGAGAGGGGCACAGCTGAGTGGGGGACAGAAACAGAGAATCGCTATTGCTCGCGCGCTCGTCCGCAACCCCAAGATCCTTTTGTTGGACGAGGCCACCTCAGCCCTGGATACAGAAAGTGAAGCTGTGGTTCAGGCCGCTCTGGATAAGGTCTGTGGGCCCTACTTTCTAATATGTAATTTAAAAGCAAAATAACATTCTTCTTAACATTTATTCTAATTAATCTTGGTCTTAGAAAAATTTGTTAGCTTCTATTTCCTGTTACTAAGGAAAAGCACCCGGTTTTCTTTTTTTCTTCTAGTTTGATTTCTGTTTCTTCTATTATTTTTTAAATATTTATCTTATTTATGTGTATGTTTGCACGTGTGTGCAGATATCAGAAGAGAATGTTGTATCTCCTGAAGCTAGAGTCAGTGGCGCTTAGGAGCCACCGAATATGGGTGCTGGGAACTGCACTTCTCTGCAAAAGCAATAAGCACTCTTAACTACTGGGCCACTCTCCAGCCACACTTTACTACTGCTACTACTACTGCTATTTATTATTAATTATTATTATTGTTATTACTATTATTATTTCTTCCTCTTCCTCTTCTTCTGAATTGTAATAAATATACTTTAATCAAGAGGCACATAAATATCTTATAATTAAAAATAAAAAATGGAGACTCAAGTAAAAATTACTCTTCATTCTGATCATGAAAATGTAGAGAAATAACCCCATTAATCTGATTTCAAGAATTGATAGTATTGTCAACCAAAGGAAAATATGAATAGAAGTCAGTCAATACCACTTGATGACTATGGAATTGAAAAGAGAAATAACCCCCTTAATCTGGCCTTGAGAGTTTATAGCATTGTCAACAAAAAGAAAATACAAATAGAAGTTGTCTGATAACACTCGAAGAGTATGGAACTGAAAAGCCTTTTTCTCAAGGAGAGGGTGCACAGAGTGATGGTACTGGAGACCTCCAGGTGTATGAAAAGCCATTAGGTGTGACCAGAGTTTGACCTTCCTGTGATTCTTGTCAGGACTTCCTCACTAATTAGAATCAGTATCTAGCTCTATGCTCTTCAGTGTATGATGGCCAGCCTTTTGAAGACCAGGAATATATAGACTTTCTAAGCAAAGGTTCTTTAAAGCTGAGCTTTCCCAGGAGATAGCAAAGGTGAGCTTGCATTTTCTCTGGCTTGTCTCTTCTGATGATGCAGCAGTTTGTACTTCTTTAAAGCACCCTGTCAATGAGCCTAACAGAGGAGACACATTCTGTGCACTAAACACAGGGTGCCAAACATTCTGTGAACTAAAGTGGAAGCAGGTGGAATTGTGACCACATTTTCCCTTATTGTTTAGCTTGTCTGTGAGCTAGCATCATCCCCGTGTCTCCACAGTAGAACATAGTTAAATAGGAGAACACAGATCAAAATTAACAGACAAATTTTACAGGAAATTACAGAAAGAACCCATTATAAGTGGTTCTATTTAAGAATACTTTTCATTACAGTATAAATTTTAAGTGGAAATATCACATATTTCCTTCACTCTCTTGAAACTGTCTGAAGATTTAATCAATTATTATTCTCTGTTTTCTAGTTACTACTATTTAATTTTTCTAACATGTATTCTTTTCTTGTTACTATTTTCCACTTTTGCTTTTCCACTTCTGTTCATTAACCCTGATATCTACAGCCTGCTCCTCTGTGTGTGTATATGTTTGTGTTTGTGTGTGTGTGTGTATAGTTGTATTTCTTATTAACTGCAGAACTCCAGAGTGAGAAGAATCATAAGCATTAGGCAAGTTTTAAAGGTTAAAGAAATCCCAACAAGTTCTACTTATCTGCCTCTATTCCATATTAACTTAAAGATGAGACTGGACGTTTGAAAATAATTACATAGCTCTTCAATTTTATCCATAATTCTCGTAGCTAGAAGCCAGTAGTATTTATTGAACATTTATTTAAAGTCATGGTATGAAGCCCTTTGCTATTGAGTCCTGACAGCTATTCTAAGAAATGGTTACTGTGTCTGTCTCTGCTTTACATATGAATAAACTCAAACTTACACAGCTTCAAAGACTGAACGAAGTCCTGGATTTCATTCCCAGTTGTGGAATAGTGGAATACTAAAGTCTAAGCTCTGCTCTTTCATATTTGTGTCCTGATTACCCAGGAGGTTAATCTTGTAATTCTTAGCAGATCTATAGTTGGTATATACCTGTACAATATCTTGTATAGATTTGTTTTATCTGGCAAATGCCTCAGCTCTAGAGTTTTGATAAATTGGATTATTACTAGAACTTTAGACTTACTATAGGATGTTAAGTAAAATCCCTAGAGGCATAAATTATATTAATATATAAACATGTTTGTTCTTGAATTGATTGCAATAAAAACTATTTTTCCATTATTATGAATTCATTATGCCTTTATGAAAGCCAGATAATATCTTCATGGATGGTTTTCACAGTATTCACAGCAGTTTTATCAGCAAAAGTAAAGTAACTGAGTTTTTGCTATAATTATTCATGTATCAAAAGCCAGGCTTCTCTCTCTCCAGGCTAGAGAAGGCCGGACCACCATTGTGATAGCTCATCGCTTGTCTACAGTTCGAAATGCTGACGTCATTGCTGGGTTTGATGGCGGTGTCATTGTGGAGCAAGGAAATCATGATGAGCTCATGAGAGAGAAGGGCATTTACTTCAAACTTGTCATGACACAGGTACAGTGGAATTCTAGAAATGTCCTAATTTATCTTGATGATAAGCTGTCGCTATGTTTAATCTATAGATAAGTATTACCTGATTGGATAATCTTGAAATGTAGGGTCTTTAGGGACTTTTTTTTTAAGAACATGGGCCTGCACCATCTGATCTCATAGCTTGACTCATACCACAGTTCCCTCTTTCTCTCTCTAGGACAGAGTTAAGAAACCCTGTACTGTGACTTGATGATTCTCAATTTATGGCACATGGTTCCCTCATGCTATTTATCACATACACTGTGCTGAACTAAATCATGTGATATGAAACTTCTTGCCACTTTCTAAAAGGTTATGAAAACTCAACTTTTTTCTTTGTGTGCAAGACTCCTCAGGGGACTGCAGGAGAGGTGATCTGAAGACTGCCCTCTAAAGAGGCTCTTCCTCACCATCCCTCTCCTGGCTCTTGGATCCCAGTGCTACCTTTCACTGTTCTCTCTCTCTCTCTCTCTCTCTCTCTCTCTCTCTCTCTCTCTCTTTCTCTCTCTCTCTCCATCTTCTTCTCATTTTCATTCATAATTAAGTACCTGTCTATGCTTTAAAGGGAAGCTTCTCTTTAGGGCCAGCTGTCCATGAATTGTAGTCATTTTGTTTAAATCTCTCCCTCCCATCTCAAGGCCCAAACATCACCTTGAGAACCTCTTGTTCTAACAGTCCTGGAACATGAAGGGAATTATGATTATGTTTCAGCTTCCTTTCTGGACTAACCACATACTGTTTTTATATAACACTATTCAGGACCAGTCCTTTAGATTTTCTTTCTCTCTCTCTCTCTCTCTCTCTCTCTCTCTCTCTCTCTCTCT